TAGTACAACAACAACAACTACTACTATTACTACTACGACGACGACGACGACGACTACTACTACTACTACTACTACTACTACTGCGGATACATGTGGCTGCCGAGGAGGCCTTCAATCCTGTAAACCCTGCAGAACATCACTGTCCGGTAGATTTTCTTCCAGCCCGATACCCAAAGTTGCAGCCTCAGGCCCAAATTCTTAAACGCTGAAGCTACGGTACTTGGGCATTGCTGTGAAGCTACGGCCACCCCTGCCAAGCCTTTGCAATCCGAGCTTCATCCAGCTTTCAAGCCGCATCTTCAGACATGAGGCCGAAACGTTTCAAGAATCCGATATCGTCAGATCCAAGCTCATGTTGAAACAAGGTCCTCGACGTCTAAACCAGGCGTTGCTGGCACTCAGGCCGGCACAGCTCTAGTTCTGGAGTGAGTGCAGAATGGCAGAGGTCTTCAGGGACGCGTCGTGTAGGAATGCTGAGTCCATTCTTGATCGAAGCAGCAACGGACTGCTGTCTGGAGCCAACTCCACATCTCATATTTCTTCCCATCCCTCGGCTTCACAGCTAACATTCTGGGAAGTAGACCCGTGACAAACTGTGACATAGCAGTCAGTGCTCACCAGATCCAGGCAGGGGAAAAACAAAGCCAAGAACTTCGATTGCTAGATGAATATTCTGTGTCTGCCTCAGAGATTGGAGCTTGCGCGGAGACTCATGACTGTGACCTTGCGACCTTGAATGTTGTTGCCGAACACATAGCGGCCATTTGCCATAGCGCCGAGATAGAAAGTGCATGCGATCCATGCACAGTCATGACTTCTCTTAGGTGGGTCTCACCTTGGGCGAGGGGGCTTTTGGCGTCGTCTCAGCTTGGGGCTCAGAGTCTCACGGCACTCTGCCCGGAGCCCTTCGTGAGCGTCCGGGCCTGGCATGCTGGCTTGTGCCCAGGTGTGCAAGAGACGGTCCACGGGGGAGGAGTTTGCAGCACCTCGGCTTGCCAACTTGGACCTATCGAGACATGGCTCCGCTCCCTTCGTCCGAGGGCATTGTGAAGTCATCACACCTCCCTTTGATTTGAATCCTTCAGTTCTCTGAGGTGAAGATGGTGGACAAGGCCAGCACTCTGGAGCAGAGGGACTCGCAGATTTAAATCGCTTTCTCATAATGTCATTCATATGGGGACTCAAGTTCCAAAGCCGAACGCCCTGGCTTCCTGAGCTTCGCGCTCTCCTTGTTTTCGGTCTCCCTTCCTTGAGTGATTGTGTGTGTGTGTGTGCATGCGAGGTGTTAGGTGGAGTGTAGGGTCTTAGACGGAAGCCGGTTTCGTGCCTGTCCGGGAGTTCGGGGTCTGTCCGGCGCCTCATGCTGAACCCAGAATATCCCGAAGCTTTGATTGGGCCATCGGCGGCAGGTTGAAACGCCAGTGGAAGCCATCCGCAAGGAGGCTGATATGCTGGCGAGCATGGCCCGGACCCGAGCGGGTTCCATGGCTTTCTCACGCAGAGACTGTGAGTGCTTGCATCATTCTGCTTTTTCTGCTCTTGCTGCTATTTCTGTTGCCAGCAGGCCGACTGCAGAGCATGACTATGCCGCACACATCCGCACACGTGGTCTTTGAAATCCCATGCTTGCCAGTTACCAGAACCCAGAGGGGATGGCTAGTGCTGCTCGTCGGTAACGAGGAGCCAGCCTGCTTTCCAAGGACCACCCAAATATTGTCAAGTTTCACGGCGTCTACTATGAGAGGCAGGGCTCCGGGTGAAGCGCTCCTCTGCCTGCCGTGTCTCAGCCCCCGTCAAGAGTTGCGTAAGTTGTTGGGTCTGTACGGCACCAGGAGACGGCAGCAGTGTTCATATGTATTATCGGTTATTATCGCATCTCATAGAAACGGAGAAACCCCGGAAGGACAAATCAGAAATAACAACTAAAACTAGACATCCGAGGGAGTTTGCCTGATGGAAGGTGCTTTGTGTGTATTGTCATGGACAAACTGGATGGCGGCGACCTCGTAGAGGGACTGCAACGCCACCTCAAGGACCTCTCAAAGTTGGTTTGGGCACCTTTCGCCTTCTTCGTGCGATGTGGTGCGGGTCTTGAAGGGTTTTGGAGTGCCCCCCTTGTTTTGGTCTTGATGGAACACTTCAAAACCGCCAGGAGCGCGGTCAGATTAATTGCCTCGACGTGGTTCACGTCGCGTGCGCTATGGGCCATGGGCAACGGAAGAGAATTTAGGGTTGAAGGTTCAGGGAGTGGGGTGGAAAGCCTAGATCTTACCGTATTGCACGTTGGGGCTAAGGCTTATCGAAACCTTGCAGGAGCTTTGTACAATGGAAGCCTGATTTTTCAATCTTGGCACACCTGTGTCATCACACAAACTCCCCAACCCTGAGTTTACGAAGGTTTTTTCCACGATCTTTCGTTTTCCACAAATGTCGAGGAAAAATGATAATAGCAGACTGCGTTTCCTAGCATGGTTTCTGTGCATTTAGCTGCTGTTACGGAGGTGTGACGGTCCTGTACCTTAAACTTGCAGTTGTGTTTTCAGGATTTGGCTTGAGGTCTGCTCGCATGGTATGCATTTATGCATGCCCCTCCCCTTGCGTGTGTTAGTGGAACCCCTGCACATATGCATGTGTGCATGCATCTCCGTAGACATGAATGTTATGTCAGCCATGTAAAGTCTTGCTCTGCAAGCGCGAAAAGGTACCAGATGGCTGCTTCCATCCACTACCTCCACCAGAGGTGCGGATGGCTTAAGAAGTGTTTCGGAAACCAAAGCTACCACTTCTGGGGGCAGCAACCGTCCTTTAGGTCAGAAGAGACTGTGGATAAGTGAAGCCGAGCAGAATGTTTGTCTCATGCTTACGTGCTCTGTGCGAATTTGAGAAGATCTTGTCACGGATTCGTTGTGCAGAAACGAGCCTCAGTAGCTTTCTTCACGAGCCCCCGCAAGCTTCGCTGCATTCAGCCCTGCACCCGCAGGAACGTGGCCCACCGGGACGTGAAAGGTGACAACTACCTCATGGACCGGAAGGCGGAGGGCTTGTAGTGGTAGCGAAAGATAGCCCAGCTTCCGACGAAGCAAGACCTTTGGTGTGGAAAGATGACCAAGCTGTTTCCTTCCTATTCTAGGATCTGACGTCAAGCGCCCAAACCCCGATCTGGACACTTCTCCACCGACTTGCAGAACATGACGGACAAGCAGTGCAAGATCGTCCTCACGGACTTTGGCACTGTCCAGGACCGAGTTTGCGCACACCCCTGCTGGAAACTCTGGCAAAGGTCTCTCTGGCACATCCCGAGTCGGAAGCCAGAACAAGAGTCCAAGCGCAGCCTCAACCATGCAATGCTGTGCAATTTGAATGAGACCTCTATCCTCCAGAGCCCCACATCCTGATGTAAATCCCTTTAAAATAAAGTAGCCCGAAACCCTGTAGGTCCTAGCGAATCCCGCAATGCGAAGCTTCAAACACCGAGCGACCCAGGCTTGTACCGCCAGCACCACCGATCGGCTCTCTTCTGGAGCCAGCTGGCTGCGATGTGTTTCGGGCATCTGATTGCAGTTCTTTATTATCGCTGGTGGTCTCGTTTTGCCATATGGTAATTAGTAATGAGAAAAGAGTAGTGTCCGTGAATATTGATCCTGTGAGTCTGTTTTGTTAAGCTGACGTGCTACCAATGGTTTGCCCCGCCAGCCCCCGGGAACCTACGATGTACAAGCCTACCCCTGGCTGTTTATTTTCCGAGCTGCCTGCCGCCTTGCCTACGTCTCCGCCAATTAACAGCCTACTTTCTCTTGTTCACCAATCTACCAACCTACCTAAGCTTGTACACCTGCGTGGTAGACTTCACAAGTTTACTTGCATACGGCTTCGTCTGTTGATCGACTTAGGTACTGTCTATCTGGTGGTGTTCATACAAGACTGCTAACTTGCATTGCAGCCGGGCAAGGCGAACCCAATTCCTGTCAGGGGCGACAGCTGCGAAACGCCGTGATGCAAAAGTTATCGGTTGGTCTTTTTCTGTAAGCATGCCACGTGTACCTCTGGCAAGTCTGATATGAGATATGAGAATTCAGGTCGGAACGAAAATCTTCTGGCCCCCAGAGTTCTTCGACCGCGACTACGGGCAGAAGGTGATGCCCTGAAGACTGACAGAAGCAGTAGCATCAGACATCGCAGCAGTAGTCGTGGCAGCTAGCGGGAGCAGGAGTTAAACAGCAGCAGTAGCCTTCGTCGTCCACAGTGTCGTTCACATCTTTCGTGTCACAGCATAGTCGTCGGTACTGGTTGTGTTGCAGCAGCTTCAACAGGGGGAGCGGGAGTGGGACAAGGGAATACCGAAGGGAATGGTGGAGGGAGCAGGGGCCCTACGGTGCTGTTCGCATCAAGGGCGATGTTGAGCATTTGCCAGCTCGAGTCGGGCTTTGATCTTGCTTGCCGTTTCAACCACGTTTCATGGTAGGATGCGCTTCGACATGCTTCGAGAGTTTCAGAGTTTGGTGCAGTTTCCAGGGAGCAGTTTGGTCAGGTCGATGTGTGGGCCATGGGCGTCATCATGTACGGTCTCGTTAGTGGCAGGGGCCCCAACCAAAGGGTTGCTGGCATGAGCACGTAATCGTTATTGAGCCAGCAATGCTGTAAGCGTGTGCTCCTGCAGTCGTCGCAGCACATAGGCAGGTGCTGTTCGTACCTTTGCATTCCGGTGTTCTGTCAGGGTACTGAAGCGCCAGAGTTGCTGGTTGACTACGCAGAACTGCCCGTATTGAAAAGGGGTGATGCGCAATCGTGGATATCCGAAAGAATGATCAATATGTCTCTGCGAGGGTGCCCCGAAGACCCCTAACACTAACACTTTGCAGGATCATTGAATCAGGAGTTACAACTCGTGAAAGTGCTACATCGGGGCTCACTGCACAGCATCTTCTGAGAGAAGCAAGGTCGAGGGATAGTCGCCCTTCTTCAGAACTGCGCGAAAGGAGTCGCATGTTGTGTTCGCATCTGGTACTGGAGAAAGAAACAGCTGCTGTTGGAGGCAATTCATGACAATCTGATCTTGCCTCGCAATCAACATTCCAATGTGGGCACCGCTGAACGCGCAAAAGGCTGCCCCGCCTCATCTCGACAAATCATATTCCAACTCAAAACCACGTCCGTCTTTGAGGCCGGTTCCCTTTCCGAGACGAGAACGACGTCAGGCCTGTGCTTTGTGGCACGGGACTTTGAGACATGTCACCGGGTCTTGGACGTGGACTTCTCATGCACTGAGCTCTATCGCTGCTCCTTCTACTTAATACCACATCAACAGCAAACACTACTACTGCTGCTGCTGCTACGACTATTACGACGACTACTACTACCAGTACTACTGCTACTACTGCTGCTACTGATACTACTACTACTACTACTACTACTACTACTACTGCCTGCTGCTACTACTACTACTACTACTACTACTACTACTACTACTGCCTGCTACTACTACTGCTACTGCCACTGCCACTGCTACTGCTATTACTACTGGTACTGCTACAATGCTGCTGCTGCTACGACGACGACGACTACTACCACCACTGCGACCGCTTGCGACTGCGGCTGCTACTGCTACTGCTACTTCTACTGCTGCTGCTCTTGCAACTGCTACTGTACTACTGCGACTGCGCGACCGCGACCGTGACCACTACTGCTACTGCTACTGCTGCTGCGGCTACCGCTGCTGCTACTGCTACTGCTGCTGCAGCTATCCACAACCACTCACTAATACTTGTTGCCTTGTCTTTAGAAAAGCGCCCAAAGTGCAAAGGGCCAGCTTCACGGTGTCGCGCTTCCATGCCAGGAACAAGGAAGTGCGCATTCCGAAGCGAGTTCACCCAGTCTGTGAGGCCAGTGGTTTCTGCAAGCGGATGTAGGGTTCGATCCACCAGGCATCTTTCATTCAGCCTCGGCCTTGCAAAGTACAATTGCCGGCTTCGAAGTCTCAGACCCCTTGGACTCCAGGAGTTCATTCGCAAGATGCTCGAAAAGAACGAGAAGGCTCGGCTGAGCTCCTCGGAGGCGCCCTGGGAAAACCTGCGTGGGGAGTTGCACAAAATGCGATCTCAGCATCAAAATTGAGATCAGCATCGTCCCAACTCGCTGCATCATGCGACAAATCCTGAACCATGCAGGAGTCTATCAGGCCCCCGCATCCTGTAGTTAGTTGGGAATCTTGACGTTTACCGGGAATCCACAAGCTCCAAGGGGGCCTAAACCGTGCAGCTGCAAGTTTAATAGCTCGAGATCTTTGGATGTTAAATGCCCGATGCAATTTGTAAACCCCAAACCTTAAGCCTTTAGAGCCCTGAAACCCTTCGGACCCCTAGACCCATCTGAGACCGAAGTCTGCCAAAACCCTAAACATCCCAAAACCCTCCCAGGGCTTCCGCACAGGCCATGGCGCATCCTTGGATCGCCGGCAAGTTCGGCAAGCTCGGCCCTGGGATCTGAGCCTGTACGGGGGTTCTGTAGCTGGGCTTGATGCTCTGATTGGTGGAGGGTCGAGAGAGGGGATGGCTTTTTGAAGGGTTTGTAGGGTTTTTCCTGCTCGGCCCGAATCAGGGAAATTTCTTGGACCTGACTTTTTTAGCACCTTTTTGTAGTACCCTTTATGGTAATTTGGATGCACTCTTTGTACTAGCAGGTGGGCCAAGATGCACAGCCCCAACTGCAGGACCCCAGAGTATGCACACTTGGAGAGAGGGCCGCTCTGTTGCAAGGGATTCGCGGCACGGTAGACTCTTCGACAACAGCAGAGCAGGCCCGGGCTGGAGTATCTAGAGTCTAGATGCTCGGACCAGCCCCGTAGTATCGCAGCATGTGCTAAGGTCACCCGACGGTGGTGACAAGCCGGCAGAAGAGCTTGGGCCCTGGGTGCAGGATTCGGCTCATGTTTTCCGCCTTCGCGAGGGCAAAGGTTCTGTTCCGGTCCTGCGGTGAAGCTTGTTTTCAACTTCCCTCCCCGCCGTGGAGCAACAGGCCCAAACACTCCTAAGAGCTGAGCTGCATCAGTGCTCCTCCATCACCAATCAGAGCCAAGCGGCTTAATTACCCCATGAACGCGACTGCACCGTAAACTCCCGAGAACCGAAACCGAACACTCAGGGAGGGCGACAAGGAGGCAGATGGCATGGCAGAGGGGCCGGCTTCCTCTCGGGCTTCGCTTAGTGTTTCTCTTACTTTGTTTCTCTTTTCAGGGTTTTTGTGAGCATCACATTCATTCCATCCTCATGCTCATCATCATCATCATCATTCTTTTTCAGGATTGTTGTAATCGTTACTAGGGCTGCCAACGCATCACAGTGATACTCGTGGTTGTGACCATGACCATCGGGCTCACGGACAGGCCGGCGTCAACGACGGCATCAAGGAACGTCGTCAGGTGCCTTTGGGAGGGCGATGTTTTGTTGTTGGAGCGTGTCTTGATGCAGAACCTTGGGACCCTGGCGTTGGCATCAACCATCATGAATGTCTTAGCCTCCGATCTACAGATGCCTGGCCAGGAGCTGATCCTGCGAATGAACCGGGAAGCCGACAGCCGCAAGGGCATCGCAACGAAGCGGGGCCTCTCAGGGGCGGTTGGGAGAACTCTGGCATGTTTCTACCGCTGGAGTGTTGACCACAAGTATGGCACTACTTTTGTCCGTTGTTAATGGTTACCACATCTATGAAGCTTTGGGTAGCTGAGGTTGCAGACTTCATGCATTCGACAAGCAGGCTTCATACCAAGCTGACCTGAAGCCCTAAACCTCACCCCTGAGCCCCTAGACTGGATCGTGGGCTCGCTCAACATGCATGTTTCTACTTCTCGAGACGTTACTTGTGCGTATGAGTTGTATGATCGACTACGGCTCTTTTTTGCGATTTCGTTTGTGCTCTTTTGATCGTTGCTGCTCGTGTGCATGTGACCCTTCGGCTTTGTAGTCCGAGGAAGCAGCTCCAAAACCACAAGCACAAGAAGTTTGTGGTTGCAGACAAGATCGTGCCCCGGGGCAAGCAGAGCTGGGCCCAGCTGGGGAAGCCTGGCGAGCAGACTTAGACTTGAGATGTTGGGGATGCAAGCACCGAGCCTTGGCTTTTGTGAGACAGCGGACGACGCATTATTCGCAAAAGCAGCACTGCGGTTTAGGCTCCCGGGGAGCTCTCGGATTTCGGATTCTTTCCCGAAAGCATCGCGAAGGGTTCTTCCGTGCGAAGCCCTCGAGACACGTGCATGGGATCAAGTACACAGAGTACGATGCAAGATGATGCAAGCATAGTACACAGAGTAAAGTGCACAGGGCATAGTACACAGAGTCAAGTGCACAGAGTGAAGTACATCGAGTCAAGTGCATCGAGTCGACTGCATAGTACACAGAGTGAAACACATCGAGCCAAGTGCATAGCACACAGAGTGAAGTACATCGAGCCAAGTACATAGTACACAGAGTCAAGTACATCGAGCCAAGTACACAGAGTGAAGTACATCGAGTACCCGACTTATCTACATCTCGGTATATCTATCTTTCTTTTTAAAGCCGGGGCGCCGCCGATGCCATCGATCGGGATTGCAACCCTTTGCGTGGATTGGCGTGGTCGAACGCACGAACGCGAGGTAAAGTTGCTACTTTTAGGCGCCCCGCGCAACCCGTAGCGTGGATTGGCGTGGTCGAGCGCACGAACGCGAGGTAAAGTTGCTACTTTTGACATTCCCGCGCAACGCTTTGCGTGGATTGGCGTGGTCGAGCGCTTGAACGCGAGGCGTGGTCGAGCGCACGAACGTGAGGCGTGAGGTAAAGTTGTTACTTTTTGCTACTTTTGACATTCCCGCGCAACCCCTTGCGTGGATTGGCGTGGTCGAGCGCACGAACGCGAGGTAAAGTTGCTACTTTTAGGCATCCCAAGCTTCCAAACTCTTGTTTTCGAGTACAGACGTAGTACGTCTGTACGAAGCCATCGACAGAAGTACATAGATGATATACATAGAGTGACGATAAACATAGAGTCAAGTACATAGTACATAGAGTGAAGTACATCCAATTAAGTGCATTTGCCACTGTACACAGAGTGAAGTACGTCGAAATAAGTGCACAAATATGACTCTATGTACTTGACTCTATGCACTGGACTATGTACTTGATGACTCTATGCACTTGACTCTGCGACTCTATGACTCTATGACTCTATGCACTGGATTCTATGTACTCAAACTGTGCACTTGACTCTATGACTTTATGTACTTGACTCTATGACTTTACATAGCGCAAAACTCTTGGCAAATGATGCTTTCGGGCCACTTGTCTTCTAGTTTTGAAACAAGCAACCCCTGCAGTGGTTTAGGGTTCATAGGCGTATGCTTCAAGGGTTGTGTAAGGGTGCTACAATTGTGGGCTGCAGCCTGGGCCCGGGCGCTGGGTCCACAATACGTCTATGTCAGATCAGGATGTGGTAGTCCCCTCTAGATTTTTGTGGAGCACCTTGTGCATGCATTGTGCCTATGCAGGCACTCACTGCGCTGCTAGGGTGATACGTGACTGCATTGCTTGCTGTGCGTTCTGCCATCAAAGGACCCTTTTATTTTGACGGTTCGACAAGAGTAAGCATCTGCACCGTAGCCTGTGTGGATTTCGATTCTTCGGTCGCCAGCCACAGGTACAGGGCGGAAAAGCTTCTTACGAGTGGACGAGCGAGGATCAGGTGCCTTGGGCCACCCAAACCCAGTGTTTGTGTGGTGAAAAAGCGGGTAGGATCTCCGGCGGTTTTCAGACATGGGGCTTGAGCTGTGCGCATGTCGTTGTTAGGGTCTTGAGGGTCTTAATAGTAGCTTTGCGGGGAGAGTTGCTGCTGTCATTGATTCAGTCTGCCTCTGGCAGTTATCCGCTACGGATTCAACTTTTGACTTCTTCTGCACGAACCCACAAATGGGACATTGTGGCAAGCCCTAAAGCTGGGACCTACAGAACCTCCTTACTGTACTACGACGACAGTATATACGATGACAGTACTACAGTATATGCTAGAATATATATATATATATATGTTAGAAAATCACTACAAGACCCCTGCAGGTCAAGAAGGAGAAGCTCTTGGACTTCGAGAACCTCCAGCCAGCACCAAAGGCGCTGGGGCCGGGCCATACTCTTCGGATAATGATTACGAGCCGATTACATTATGACTGTCATTGGGTTTTCGGCAGTTCAGGTCCTGCATTCACGCTGCTCACTTCAGGGTCTCGAACAAAATTCGCAAAAGGCGTAGAGCTTTGGGATCGGAGGGGTAGGGGCTGACGGAAAGTTCGTGAGACCGCTTTGAAGCTTTGAGCCTTGAGCCCTGCTGCGGCTTTTGGAGGACGATCCCATGGACCTGGCGATGTTCCGGAAGACGTTGGTGGAGTCAGGAGCCAAGCTGTTTTTCTCTCAAGCCCAGCGCTGTAAACACATCCGTTCTCATCTGAACTTCATGTTCTGTTTTTTTCAAGACACACAATTGGTCGCCCAGGCACAACATCGACGTCAGCCAGTTCGGCGTCGGCAAGGCCATGTTGGACTGTTTAACTGTCTCCACTGGGCTGAAGTGCCTGGGAGCAATGCTAAGTGGGGCTTGCCACATGGACTTGCCTGCATGGAGGATTCCGGAGTGCTAAGGCTTAGTGTGTTGAGAATAGGGGCTTCCTGAGCTCTGTAGAGTTGGAAGCGACTTTGCAGATTCCGGGCTTGAAGGTCAAGGGTGTTTGTGCTGGGGCTCCGTGTGTCTCTGCAATAAGAAGCTGCTTGAGGATGTCCGGATCATGTACTCATGTAAGCCGGGGGGAGGTTGGCGAAGCTGGCGTAGCACCTCCCAGTACTGTAAAATAGGACACACTACGGCACTTGCTCCGCAGTTCATAGCCACCTCACTATCACGAAGCCAATTCCCAATCGCCTGCACTATCTCGAAGCATCCGCGAAATCCAATCCTTTATCTGCAACCCTGAGCCTCCGAAATATCGACTTGTGCGCGAATCCTGGAACCGAACCCCAAGCCCTGAGACTTCGATCGCTACAGCTGAAACCGAAGCTGCCTCCAGGCAAAGGGAATCGACCAGCTGGCCCGGGAAGTCGAAACTGGAGCTTCCAGGCCTTCGCAGCTAACCGTCGTGGTGTCGCATACAAGCAGCAAGTATCTTGACGAACGTATCTGCGTGTGTGTAGCCTGTGCAGTCAGTATGTACGTACGTACGCATGCATAATATATAGGCAAGTTCGTGAGCAAGCCTTAAACCCGATATCTATTTATGACGTGGTCGCTCTTTCAGAACAGGCTGATGTTGGATGCGCAGCAGCACAAGAAGCTCGCGCAAGCCTGAGCTACTCTCGGGCCCTTGCCAGGATTGGGCTTCAGGCTCGTGGCAAGCAAGAGGGCTAAATGAAATGACCGGATGACTGCGAAGAGTGCAATCGGACTCCTTCGTCGCGACGGGAGTATGGTTTTTCTGCTTCTTTCTACTATACTATACTATACCATATAATATTATGTTATACCATATCATAATCTAATCTACTATATTATTATACTGCCCAGAAGTTCTCAGCGCGAGGTTGAAGCTGGTGACAACGTTTTTCCTTGACACGAAGCCATCGTCCATGCAGTCCTGGCACGTTGCGCCTCCTGCTGACATGGCCCAAGGTGCGCGTCGTGGACATCGTCGTCCTGTATTGAGCTCAGACTTGGCATTCGGCCATCGACGGTGGCAAGAGGTCAACAGCAATTCTGCTAAACTCATCATCATCATCCATCATTCATCCGTCATTCATCCATCATCATCCACCAACCATCATCATCATCCAGCATCATCATCCATCATTCATCCGTCATTCATACATCATCATCCACCAACCATCATCCATCATCCATCATCATCCACCAACCATCATCCATCATCCATCATCATCACCATCATCATCATCATCATCACCATCATCATCATCATCATCACCATCACCTCGTCATCAGCATTTTCATTCTCAGGCAGCGCCTCACCCTCACGCTACATCTATCCAACCAGTCATTTCATCCTCCGCCCGTAGTTAGGTAGTTGTCTTGGTCGTGATTGTCATCATCGTCTCGTGCACGGTGATGGCATTGATTTTATGCTGACTTACTTTCTCCCAGCTTCAGGCAAAGTGTCGGGCAGGAGTTCCCAGGATGTTACTTTTACATGATCAATGGCATTGAGATTCGTGAAAGCCCCTTGAGTAATGTGTGGAGTCCGTATCTCTTTGTTTCTTTCAGGCTCGCTCTCTCGCTCTTTGAGTTTCATGCCCCTACAGACGAATATGCAGAGCTCCTTTTCGAGTTACATGTCCGGGTGTGCATCGCCTGTTCTACCTTTTTCCCTGTGTCGCTGTGCCGTACCCACTCTGTAGAGTTATAAGCACCGAGAAGCCAAAGCCCAAAAGCCCAAAAGCCCAAACCCGAAATCATCCAAACCGCGAGCTCTAAACCCTAAACCCCATGCTAGCCCTCCAAACCTCAAAACTGTGTCGCCAAGATTCTTCGCCTAAGCCTGCCTCAATGAGGCTCTCTGCAGCGGCAACAGTGTAGAAAGAGGCCCTCAAAAACCCTAAACCCTAAAACCTGAAGCCTCGAGCCTCAACCCTAAACCCTGTGTCGGCTGAGGAAACTTCGCCCTGCGGACGGCTCGCGCCTCCTCGTGGAGTTTAAGGAGAGCACAAATTTCGGGCTTTGGAGTAACCAGCGATTTGGGCTTCTTGATTTCTTTGGGGGTGCAGCGTCTCATTGGCTTTGCAGCCTTTAGGGTTTCGGAGCCATTGTCGGGTTTCGATTTCCTCCTGGGTCTTGAAAGCGTCAGGGATGCGAGTGTCTCGATTCTTTTGGGACTCTTCCTTTCGCGACCCGAGCTCTTCTAAACCTTAAACCCTAAATCCCTAAACCGTAAACCTAGGAGCAGTTCCCGGATGGTCGCGAGCGCGAGACGCTGCGCCTGCCCGGCACGAAGAAGGACACCTGGGAAGTGTGGGTGTTAGGGTTCAGGGTTTTAGGATTTTAGGGTTTCTCCTCACTGCCAGGCTAAGTGGCTACTCTGTGACGATGACCTGATGCTGAAAGCATCCATGAAGTCTTCGACAACCTGAAGATGCGAGTTCTAGAGCTTCGCGCTTGAAGCCTTCAGAATGGAAAGACTGCTGAGTTTGCAAGCTCACTCAGACCTCGTGCCCTAAAGCCTTGAATAGCATTGCGAAAGCATCATCCGCACCCGACGCAGGAGCCGCACGAGAATGCAAGGTGGGCGCAGTGGTGTCTGTTTCTCGAACTCGCCCGTCACAGCCCCCATTGCTAGAAATTTGGAAGTGCGCAATTCCACGCAGGCCTGAGCAGCCGAACTGTTGTTAAGATAGAAAAGTCGTGATCACTAGATTGTTTGCTACGTTTGTTGCAATGACTTAATTTTGCTCCTACTGGTGACCTATTGCTAGTAGGCAGCGCTGTTGCTGCTTCTGTTGATGGCAGTTAACCCCAAATCCTGAAATTTCCTAAACTTTAGAACCGCGAGGCCGAAACCTCCAATCTCTGTTTAGGGTTCTATCTGTGTGCCAGGCAGACGGCTGAGCGCATTCTGAAGGAGATGATGACCATCGATCCTAGCATGGTGCGCCCTCACCGGGTCCAGGGGGCTAACGGGATCGGCCCTCCAGGCATGACAGTGAACTTTCAGGCCTGCTGAAGGCGTTTCGTTGCAGCACTGCCGCTGAAGCTTTCGATATGCAGCTGTTGGCTCGTGTCTCAGCTCTCGTAGCTGTGCCCGAGCACGGAGGCCATGTATCGCCCTAATTATTCGATTCAGAGGGGTGCAAATCCGTTTCTGCTGGCGCCTGCCACGCATCCCGGCCAGCGGTTTCATCCAGGGCCAACCCCTTCGACCGGTATTGTTTTATCGTTTAGCAGGGTTTCTATGTGCCAAGATGCTTGACTTAAGTCGGATGCAACAGGGCATGTTGCTTCCTCACCTTAAAACCCTAAGCCTTAAAGCCTAAACCCAAGCCCTAAACCC